TATTTACACTCAGACTAGTCATACACTGCTGAAGAGAATACAGGAATCCTAGTGAAACTTCATGACAATCGTAAACTGGAACACAATTTTATATGTTATTACCATTATGGTAATCGTAAGTGTGCAGGCAGACTTCTGAAATTTCTTCTGTTACTTGTTTAAGGGTAGAGGACGTAAAACTCAATACAGGAAGAAACCACCTTTAGTCCCAGCTAGTTGCTTTCCATTCGTTAGAAAGTACACCTATTGTTCTCCATACTATACTATTAGCAGCATTTTTGCAGTTTTGCAAACAGAGAAAGGCAAAAGTCTTCTGCAACCAAAAGCCCAACATGAAGTGAGCCAACTCAACATTTTATCCATTTGTCTTTTAACATTTATCTCGTGCTTCTGCTTGTGGAGAAAGGTACATGGTGGAGGGGAAAACAAACATTCAAACACAGTAATTCAATCTACCTCCTCTCCTGTTTTCCACTACTTGCCTTAGCTTTAATACAAGCAAACACGTCTGCACTTTATAAAAATAGAGTGCAGTTGTTCATGCAGCATCCATGGGAAGAGGACAAGCGAGAAGACAATTGCCGTGAACAGCGACCTGGTGCTAGTCTGTACGTGTGAAAACTGAGCTGCCTCTGTTATACGTTTCTCCTTTCTGTATGCCTTTGAAAGCTGTATACTTCTGTATTCTGAAAACCATGTTTGTTGCATGATTCTATAAGCAAATATGCCATAGTTAAATCACTAGCTGAAGTTGTGCCGAAATTGTACTTTGAATTATAGAATTAATATTTTAATCAAGTTTTAACCCTTTTATTTTCGAATGAAATAATTGGCTCCTCCAACAAACATTTTCCTGGTTGTGTAAAATGACTTTTTTATTAAAGAGATTTATTATGAAGACAATATCTAGGACATGAAAATATATGTTTTTTGTAGCCCTCATTTTCCTAAATATTAAAAATCTGCATTATAGACCAAATCCAACTTGCCTACTAGTCATCTCAGGGAAATCAATGAGCCTAGCTAAGGCAGCAGGGGAGATGGATTTGGTTCTGTATTGTAGTGGAGTGGCTGCTTCTGTGTGTGTGCGCACATGTGTTTAGAAGATGGGTGAGGATAGGACTGTATGCATGGTATGGAAAAGATGGGGTGGAGTTTTCACAATGGGGAAACTTTGTCTGGCATTGGGCCCAAGTTGGAATTAAATCCATCTGAGAGTGTGTTGGTTTTCACTTTGTAACTCAATGCAGAATAGTTTGGGACTGATGGGGAAAAATAAAGACTGCATGTTGGTTTCTTCTTGTTCATAATGCTTAATTCCACAGCTGTTATGAATACTGAGAGCATCACTAAAAGGCAGGAAAGGAGTGCCCACCTATAAGATGTGGTGGGCCAGATTGGATGTTGCATCCATTTTGGGAGCTTTCGTGATTGGAAGCTTTCCAGCATTCCCTGCCACTTATTTATTTTTCCGTCATCAAGATTAGCTTTATACGTTATAGAACAGGAAGACAACAAGGGCGGGGGTAGAGGAGCTGGGACTATGAGGTTTGGAATAATTACCAAATCACAAAAATATTTTTATTGGCAGCTAACATGGTGTTTTTAATTACTGTGTCAGAGAGTATGATAGGTGAATTTTAACCAAATATTCATAAGCATATATATGAACTCCATATAAATGATAGCCATCCGGAGAACATTAGGGTTACACCATAATGCCCGTGGTTAGTCAGGAAATGCTGAAATTAACCCTGCCCCTTGTGCATATGGTATTATATTCCTACCCTTAATTACAAAATCGCATACCGTTTCCCAAATAATACAATCTGTTGGTATTTACCCCCCTCACAGTCTAGGATACTCACAAGTAATTGTGGAGGTAAATTCAATAATCAAGAGTTATTTGACTAGGTAACCCTCCCAAACCCTGCCTGTTCTCTGTAGGGGAGAGTCCCTCTCCACAAGAGCTTGCAGGGGTCAATACACTCAAGACACTTTCTTGCAACTTTTAGAAGCTGGAGGAATTGAGAGGTGCCTCAGAGCTGGACATCCTCCAGCAAGCCTAACCATGTGTGCAGCAGCAACTAATAAACTCTGCAAGGAATAAGCCAAAGGCTCCTGTGGAGCCCTTAATTCAGCCCATGTGCATCTTCAGAACTCTCTCCGTTCCGTTATGCAGCTAAATTAGCTACACTCTTGTGTGCGAGGCAGTCTCTCTTGGAGGCAACCCTTTGGGTCCGACTGCGGGTGTAATGGCTGTTGAAGACCCAAGGTGCTTCTGAGGGTTTCTGTAGAAACTTCAGGAAGCATTTCTGGTGTCAGTAGAAATTACTTGAGTACACATAAATTCTTTACTCAAACTCACACTTTTGGCAACAGCCTGTAGCTCTGTCAATTTGAATTGGATACCATCTTCTCCTAATGACTGGACCAAGAATCAGGTTCTGTCTGAAATGGTGTGGACAGGTTGCTTGCTCCCTTCAAAACGTGTATGTGGCTAAGCACATGCTGTGCAATAAGTAGCTGCTGCAGACCATAGGGAATGGTGTTGAGGGTGGTGGGGAGGCATTTCTGTGTGGATATTACCTAAAAGCACAGTCTAGCTCTTGTTCTTCCGATTTCATTCAAGAACTATATGCAGGGGAATGGGTTTGTAAGAACTTGGGGAAGACAGGCCAGCTAAGGAGACTCACTCCATGGCATTCTTCCAGATGCACTTTTGTCTAGAAAATCCTTGGCGGCGATGCAGGAATTTTCATGATTATAGCTGAGTAAAAGATTGTAAAGGGAATTAAATACTGTAATCAAAATATGCTGTGAAATTGGTCAAAGAACCATGTTCCTCACAAACCTATAGGGTTTGGGGGTGGGGGTGTGTGTGTTTTTAATTACCTGGCTGGCTTAACAGCCTGTGGTCATAATGGAATAAAAGAGATTTTGTTTGGGAAAATGATGGTAAAAGGAACAGGAAGATAAGAAGCACTTTCTGATACTTTCAGTCTGACAGTCATACGCTTGTCCAGTACAAACATGGCAAGGACCGTGGCTGCCCGCAAAGGAGGCAGTGAGGAAACGAGGAGATGGAGGTAAGAAAAGAGGGAGAGAAAGGAGGGTGAGTGTCTCTCTGCAACGTCCTCTGCCAGCCCGCTGTGCAGCTGTTATGGATTCCTGGGGGACGTGCTGGCATAACACAGCAAAGGCAGCTGCAGACAAAAACAGTCAGAAAAGGATCTGCCCCAGGTTTACCCTTGTTACTCACTGGGGTGGCTGCTGGTAGTTTCACTGGAGCTGACCTGCGTTGTAATATGGGGCTGTTTATTGACATTTATGTTAGTGAGGTAAAGCAATGTTCTCCTTTGAGGAAATGCAAAATAAAGCCTGCTCTATTTCTCTGCAGGGTGTCTAGCTGCTACAGCTGAGACTGTACTCTATAGTGTGCTAGTAAACTGCTAGTAGGACAATTGTAAGCAGTGTCAGTAACGCTGTGTCCCCATCCTTGAAAAATCCTAACCATCTGCTAAGTATGTTGTGTTTATTATCTTTTAAGAAGTCATATTGAAAGTCTTAAATGAGCTATTTACCTTCTGATGCAGCAGATGGATTTTCCTGTGGCTCTCCTGTTCCTATCTGTACTTTCGTCAGAGTGATTTCCAGGCAGTGAAGACTAGATAAAGTATGTTCACATGGAATTCTGCTGTGTTAACTTAGAGTAAATCTGGATTGATGCTGCTGAAGTTGGTGGAGATACTGAAATTGAAAACAGAAGTCAGTCAGCTATAATCAAAAGTGACAGAAGGGATCATAGAATCATAGAATCATAGAA